TTTCTTTATTGGCAACACCACATCTAGATCTCATCCTCCAATAGTAATAACATCCAATATCTTGTAGATTCCACAAATTGAACCTCTTCTTTCAGCTCTTCTCCAAAATTAAATAAACTAAGAAGTACACCAATTTGGCAGTCTATTTAATTTCTTGATGATAATTAAATCTAACCCTACACTGCTGCCATGTGAAAATACTCCATCTGTTACCAATGACATCAGTAAAGCCAAGAAATTTTGTGTATAAGATGTATGGATTATGTTAGGAAGATCCATGATAAACATAAAAATTCACCTGTCAAGACACAAAATTCTCCTTTTTAAAATTGTCATAATTAATTTATTGACAAGTTTCATCAAGTTCGTAAGCATCTAAGTGTGCAACATTGTCATGGATACAGTTTAAATATGGGCAAATTATATGATTCAAGTGATTATAGTCTTCTAGCATCATCTATTACACTAAGTTATAAAATATGAGAATCGCCTATGATGATTAGCCGAAATATTGTTTAAAACTACAAGGTGAAGCCATTAAAGAATCAGATTACAGAAGTAACATTGACAATCTCATAGATATTATTAAGTGCCTTAGGAGAAAGGCAAACCACTGTCCATGCATTAGATTGTTCTCAATATTCACAAGATGACTAAGTGTCTCACAAAGAATATGGATATAATTGGTATGCCTTATGATGATCATTTATGTGGTTACCATGTTCATTTCCATCCAAAATCATCTTATCATGATGATAGAGTTTTCTACCCATTAGTTTCATAAATTTCAACGTTTTAAAAATCTATATCAATTTCAAATGCTCAGGCATTTGTGTCAGCGCCAATAAAAATTTGATACTTATGATAGGTTGATCTAAGAAAATTATTAATGTGATGATTCGTTATAATTTGATAATGATGATAAACTGCCAATAGTTGAATACCTTGCTAGAACTAACCACGAAATAATTCCCGACTATTTTGAAGCCTAACTTGGCAATCATGCCCAAGCCCACAGTTGAGACTAGATATCTTTTGTTGCTGTTTTCATTGATATGAAATAAGAGGTTAATCAGCAAATTATAATATTCTTGCAAAATCTTTCTCCAAATACATAGGTTAATTAACATGTTCTAATATTGTAGTCAATTTCCTCTCAAGAAGTGTACGTTAAGTTCATGTTACCATTGTCATGTGATTATGGTATCTTCTATGATATTTGATCAAATAATGGTGTATGATGTGTGGTTAAGTATAAAACTGAAGCCTCCAAACCATATGATGTAGAACCAAATGTGTCAGTAATCATGTAATACTAAAAATATACGCCTTTTAATTAGAGCAATAATAATTACATTTACTTTCAACGATTTAAACAAATATTAAAACAACAAGAAGATGATTTAAGCATAGGCCAAATTACAAGATAAAAGTTAAAATCATGAATAATCAATTCCAATCACAATTAGCATAACATGCAGGAGTTCAATAGAAATCCCTATATTAACATACAGATTAGGCCCTAATTGAATCCACTCACTCTTGGTGTAGGCTAAACGGAGATAGGTTGCACAACCTTTATGATGTCACAAATAAAAGGAAAGATTTAGAAAAGCAAAAGGCATGGAAGAGAAATTCACCTTTATCAGGATTAAAAAACGATATGCCACTGAGCGGGAGAGAGTTGTTCGTCGATTGCGACGGAGAGAGAAGGCAATCCTTATGACGTAGTCTTCAACGGTACGGTCGACCTCTAAGTTGATGTCAAAGAATGGAGACTTAAGAATGTCCACTTGCCCTTGATCGTTGTAAACAAACCCATGATCACGTTCTGGGTCAGCCATACATAAAGGAGCCGATAATTACAAAGTTCTGGAACTTCTGGACAGCAACCGATGAATTTTCGGATGGTAGGACAGCAACGAGAAGATGCAGAAATTTCGGGATAGCACTTGATCTGCTACTGGGCAGCATGCATGAGTTGTTCTGGACAGCAATCTTGCTGGTCTTGGGAGTTCTTGACAGCAATTACGATCCGGAAAAATTCTGGACAGCAATCTCCTAGTCCAAAAATATGGAAATCAGTTGTGAGTGGGTTTAGGCAGCAAGGGCTTGATGTGGTCGGCTATGGGAAAGAGAAAACTTCTCTTACTTGGCAAGGGAAAAAATTGGGGAGGTAATAAAGGAGATGGAATCAAAAAGGAAAGGAAGGAGAGAGGGTAGGCCGGCAGGTAGAGGGGTGGGGAGGAGATGGGGAAGAGAATAAAGAGGTTGCCAAAGAGGGATGTTTAATTAGGGAAGGGGATATTATGAAAAATCCCTGATTAAATTAAATTGATATCATTTAGGAACTTTCCTAAAGTAAGCCATCTTATTTAAGGAAAGAATTTCAAATTCAAAACAGATTGGAATTTGAAATTAGTAACTTTCCTAGTTTAAGATATTTAATAAATGGAAAGTATTAAATGGGGACTTCAATTTTGGAGGCAAAGGGAGAATGGGAGGGATGGCCGACGGTTTAAGGAGGAGAGAGGGGAAGGATTGGCGGAAAGAGGAGGACCACAAACCCGGACGCTTCCTGCAATTGGTGGGTACTAGCCCTCACCTAAGGACTTCAAGCAACCTCTCTCAAAAATTCTCACAACTCACAAACAAGGTGTAGGAAAATTTTCTTCTTAATCATCATTACCCTCAAAAGATGAGGGGGTGGCTTTAAATAGCCAACATACAATCAAGAAAAATAAAAGACCAACATGCCCTTAGGGCTTACATAGGACTACTCTTTCAAGTGAGGGTACAAATAAAAAATATGTAAAAAAAACTCAATACAATCATAATAATAAAACTATTACAAATAATAACTGAAAAATAAAGGGGTGCAATCTTGGTCGTAGATCGTCGGCCACGTCTCTGGTAAACTATCCATGGTCGGATGTCCTCATCACCATACTTATGTTTAAACAACACGGGCTTAGGATTTAAGAGATGTTGATGAAGCAATTTCTTGGTCGCCTCCACAAAACGGAATTCCAAGAAAATGCTTCTACAAAAATCTTCAAAAGAAGTGTTATATCTGCCTATTGGGAAATAATGTAGCAAAAGAATATTATTTATTGAATTTATAAAATTTTAGATTAGTTCTAGATTTTATTTAATGTCATGATTAGCTTTATTTGAAATTAAATGATATGATAACTATTGGATTAGAAATAAATTCAAATTAATTTAGAATTATCTTGCAACAGGTTTTCTATAAATAAGAGTTAATGGCATGTGTTTGAGACAATTAGTGAATGAAGTGAAATAAACACCCTACCACCTATTTCTCTCTCTCTCCTCATTAATTTTCCTCCTAACTGTCAGCTTCTCAACTCTCAAGGGAATCTAAATCCCAAAGCCCGTTCTCCTTTCAATCGCAGCAGTTAATTTGTGGCTTGTTATCAAAGCCTCTTGAATCCTCTCAGCCATAGCCAAGACCTATGACTTCTATTGGCAACTCCACATCTAGCCTCCATTTCATCTGTTGATTGAAACAGCACCCAAAACTTTCCACGTTGATTCCCTCACAAAACTATTTCTTATAACCGTCCTCCAAAATTCAAAATAATAAAGTACATCAACTTGACATCAATTCAATTTCTTTTCCTACATCACCCGACTCAAGAGAAAAGTAAATTCTCCACTTACCAAATTAGAACAGTAAGAAAGATAAAAAAATGATTAAGAAATTTTTTTTATAAATGCAATAAGCAAATAGTCGAAAACAAAAAGAAACCACCCGGATAACATAAAACAAAACATATGAAAGAGAACACAATACAAAAAATCTTACTTTTACACAATGATGGTCTTACTTTTAATAAAAAGACTAGTAATTAAGCCAGTGACTTCATTGATTTATAGCAAAAGTGATTTGGCCATGCTTATGTCAGTATGAAGTCGTAAACTTCACTTTCAAGATTATCCGCAGTAAATTAAACATAAAAAAAAAAAACAATACACAAATTATAATCTTCTTCTTCTTGCTACAATTCATAGGATTAAGAACTACCAAAATTTAAAAATACTTATTTGCAACTAGGATGGCCATTAGCGGATAGACTAAAGCAATAAAACCAATAAAAGCATTTAAAGTAGCGCAAACATATTGAAAACTTTTAAAGTTTAGGATCATAAAGTACAGTTTTAAAATTCCTATGATCAGTGTTAGCAAAAAAAAAATTTTTAAAAACACTAAATTCCATTGACAAAATGACCAAGAGGAAACAAACTCCGAAAACACCAGCGAGATCAATCTGAGCGACCTAGGAAAAAGGTTTAAAGGCAACCAACCACTAAAACAATACATTGAAAAAAAAAATATGAGAGGTTCACAGACGTAGTTGCACATTTTTCAAATGGATAAAAGAGCCTGACAAGGAAAGTTAAATGGTGTATCAGCAAGCACAGTTCTAAACGCTTGTAATTTCTTCAGCCGATGCTTGAGAATTTTAGTGTAAATGCATGCATGTTTCTTACTTTATCTGCATGTTTGCCTAGTCTTTTAGAGCCAGCTTTTGCAATCTTCTTTGCTGGTCATTTGTACAAAGAACGAGGAGTAAATTATTTTGTACTATGTTGCCTTTTAAAATTAAAACTCTAAATATGTGGCGATTGGTTCCCCTCTTTCTTGATCTACCAGGAGAAGTTACACTTGACATTCCATACATTTCAAACTGATCCCTGGTCAAGTTCTACTTTTAAAACACTTGCACACTTTTTAGAACACGTACCCAAAAAAGGGAACGGATAATTGGTCTGAAAGTACTTGAAAATGCTAGTAAAACGTGTTCATCATAACCAATTCTACGTCCAATGCAGAATGCTGTAGCAATTATAAAAAGTGACTTACAAACCAAAAGGAAGGAATTTCAAACAATGAGTTGCCAAATCACAGATAAAAGGAAACACCAAGTCCATTGATTTATTGAATCTTATTGGAGAATAAATGAAACGAATGGTTGGATTAAAAATGAATTAAATGTATTACCTTGATCAAGGGTGCAACGCTTTGAAAAAGCAAATTACACCATTTAAAGAATTGAAACTTGAATGAACCACAGGCATGGGCTAGCACTCACATCAATTGAACGAGGAGAAAAGAAGTTGCCATGTGTTATTTAGGCAATAAAATCAGAGCTACAAACACAAAGATACAATGTGTTAGACTTGGTTTCACTATATTACCTTAACTTCCCAACCCTTTAAATGCTCGCTGACAGCTTGCCTACATCCCCTGTTATCAAATTGACGTCTATGCTTGACAAAATTATCTGAAGGAGAACCAACACGACCCAAAGAATCAGAGTCCTTACAACTTCTGACAGTTAACTTACTTCCACCTCTATTGTAGCGATGATTGTCATAAATTTTCAGTTCGCTGAATGATCTCTCATCAACTCGACCAATTAGAAATTGTGAAGTACCATCAAAGGTGTGCCTCTTGGGGGAATACAAGTTAGAATCTTGATGCCTAATACTAGCTTCCTTTTTAACTAGGAGTCCAGGCAAGGCCAAACTGCTTTTTCTACTTTCATTGTAAGTACTATTATCAGGACATGATTTCCTTACTTCAGCAGGAAACGGATCAACATCTAAATTAAAGCCTGTTCTAGAATAGAGGTGGCATTTTTTGCTTGAAACTATGCCATGCTTGCTGCGCAGTTGAGAAAATGTTTCCCTGGTATGTGAATGTCCACTGTGACACTTATATCTTCTATCTGGTTTGAATAAACTTGGTACTTGATTCCTGTGAGAGTCATCCTCATGCCAGCCACTTTTTTCTTCATCATAAGCCTCTCTATAAATTTTAGGATGTGAACCGTCCTCATAAATACTTGAATCTTGATGATTGTAAGCATATCTACTTGACCTTTCTAAGTGTACAAGCATAGTTTTGTCATCTCTATCATATTCCTGAAGCCTTCTTAATGCTCCAGCACTGTGGGAATCTCTATCATACTTATTAATAAAGCTTTCATCTTCCTCTTCAAGGTAGGGAACACACCACCCAAAATATTTATCTAAAGATCTTTCTCTGCGGTCATCAAAAGATCCTTCTCTATGTCGATCTTTAGCTTCCATGGAATTATAATGGGCCCTCGTTATCATGTGATGTGCATCTACAATTCTACTTTTGTGGCAACCCGTTTTATCATAAAGAGAAATTTTACGTGAACCTGATTGCAAATAGTCCCTGTTAAGAATGCTTTGGGCCCTACTGTTACGCTGTGCCATTCTTTGATTATTGCAGCAACCATTTTTCCTTGTATTAACTTCCCTTGCAGCGGTTCTTTTCTCCCTGATTCTCACAGGCAAAGGATCTGCATCATGGTACTGAGAGCATGCTGAAAAAGCAGTTGCATTGACTTCCTTTTCATTATTATATTCGATAATGTTCTTCAGTGAAATTTTACCTCTTTGACTTGAATGATCCCTTACACCGGGTTCATCATCCCAGTGGCTAACAATTGTTCCAGTCTCCTTTGCCTGATGCTCACCATCAATTTTCGGCCTATGCACCAGAGGGGAAGCAACCTCATCATCTGAGCTACATTTTGATTCAACCACCCTGAAAATTGTTGTTTCTTGGCAATAGTCCAGATCTAGCAAGGATTCGGGAGAATGGCCCCCAGAGGATGCACCATCCGTTTTACTGCCACTTCCACTTTCACTGGAAGAATAACAATGAGACAATACGGACTCTTGTAACAAAGAATCAGAATTCAAGTGTACACATTCAGGGATGGGAATTTTCTCCAAACTTATTTCATCCCTGGATGCTTCAAAGGAAACATTGTGATCAGAAGACTTTGGACCGCAAGAATGACCAGCAATATTGGCATCAGATTTTGACAAAGAAATACCGCTTGAAGGGCAGTCTCTACCACAGGTCATATTATCAAGTTTCTCGTCAAAAAACTTCTTCAGACATGGAAGAGGACACTCACTAGAATTGCTACTCCCTTCACATTTACGCGCACAAGTAACCACAGAGGAAGAGCTGCACAGAAAAGTGCCAACATCATGTGAACGTTCAGTAATAAAAAAAAAATTTTTTTGATGCATTGAAACTCCTTAGAATAGGTGTGTCGACCATTAAAGAAAACCTATGAGATTTTTTTAAAAATGAATAGAAAAATCTGAAATAAAAAGAAAATAATCAAGATGGGTGGTCACACTAAAGAAGGATGCTTTTCAACTTAGGCAACAGAATATCTGAGAGCGACTAGGATTAGTATAAAATGGACAATATAATTTTCGCTTATACAAAATCGCACAGTATTAAAGCAACTTGGAAAAAGAACCATAGATTAACTATAATGACATGAAGGATAACCAAGATACAGTACACTTACAGGAACTCTAAATCTGAAAAAAGATAACCTATAAAATTTGCTCTTTATTGCATTTATTATGTATGGAACAAATCATCTCATAAAGTCTATATATAGATGTAACATCATCCTGATCATCAATCTCGGACAACGGATAAACTGGTTTCTCAAAAATGCAATCTCAACTATTAAAGGTTGAGTTAAATGAATAATTCTTCATGATTCAGTCCCGTTGAATTGCAAGGCAACCATATTATGCTTAAGCATGATTTATTAGTATTTCAACTCTCTCTTTCATAGTTTATAGTTTCCTTTCACCTACAACTTCCCTTTCACCAGCACCTTTATGAATATAAATATTTTTTTAGATCCAAATACTAACAGATTTCTTTAAAAGAGCATGCAATGCATGACATTAATAAAAAAAAATTGAAAGGTCAACCCACCCTCCTAGAGCAATCTCAATCTAAATTGACTTTCAAATGAATTCCCTGAGTCCTTTCCTAGCTTTCCTAAACTTCTAGTACCCACAGAATCACCAAACCACCATATTGCTAAGCATGTGGCAATAAAGAGCAACCTATGGATGCCACAGACACTACTAGATTTGCTCATGTTAAAAAAAATACATATAGTAAATGGTGATAAAGAGCACTTTATAGAAAATCTATTTATAGTTTCAGACAAATTTAAATTGGAAGAATGAAAATCAAATGTTAAAAAAAATACAAGCCGCTGGAAACTACAAGCTCTCACCTTTTGCAGAACTCATTCTTGGAATTCAACAATAATTCACTTTTAGATCCATGGTCATCCAGATATGTTCCATTTTTTATGGGAACCAGCGCATCCTCAACAGCAATGCCTGTGGTAATCTGCATAGATGTTACAAAGAAAGCATGACTACTGCAAAAAAAAATCCGCTATAATTTTTCAACAGGTAAACAAAGTCCATTACCTGTATCACAACATCAGAATCCCGAATCCTTGGTCTTCTAACATCTACCGATGGAATACGATCTCCATTGCCACTTTCAACCTGAATTGCTCGACCTTTTGGCTAATGTAGGGAATTATAATTTTTAGAAATATTTTATTACATAAGCATGAAAGCTAAATAAATGTTGAATGGAAGACCAAAATGATAAAATGAAACAAAGAATGAGTAATTATCAAGTTGATTCAATTAAACATACCACTTTGATTCCCTTCCTCCCATTTTCTCCATAATCAGGAATTTCAAGTCCACTATCACGTCCATGTTGAGCAACTTCACCTGACATTATGCCGGTTGGCTGCAAGCCATATTCAATCATATATGAGAACTGATAAGCTGGAATGCAAAAGTCTAGACCATTTTTTATAGTGTCACTAGCTCCTATAAATTAATTATTGTATGCTAAACCATATAACACCAGACCTTATTTACCTTAGAAGATTCATGCAATGGCAACTTCTTCTGCTGAAAATGTACCTGCTAACAACCCAGAAAAGCAATAGGTTAAATGAGGCATCGTCACAAAGCTGAGGAAAAAACAAAAATTACCAATTGACTGCAATAGGTTCTCCACCCTTCCTCATCAAGTCCAAAGTTGAAGTAGTCCGTAATATCTGCTCCATTAAATCTCCATGGCTTACACTCAAGTGATTCAACATCTATGTTGAATATGCTCCTATATGGTCAGTAGTATAACAAAAAGATAAGTACCCTAGTATAAGTCTAGGTGATTGAAAAAAAAATATATATTAGTTATTTTTTCTAATAGTGATAGATAAAATGATACGCATGAAAACAAGAAGTTCCACATTTAAATTAATAAAATAATGAGTCGGAGTGAGAATGACATGCTTAATTGCCAACAAATATTTAAATCCAATATGCACAGCCAAAGATGAGCAACATCTACCCATTTCGTGGCAAATAGAAATCATAACCATTTGAAAACGCCAACGGAAAGCCTGAAGCACAAAAGGTATTTCCCAAAGAACATGGTACTGTCAAATGATTGCAATGACTTCTTCCAGGGAGAGACTTCCGAGCACGAACAGCAGACCCAGCCAAACAAGGGGTTGCCTGAGCAAAAGAGTAATCACTGGTAAGTACAATTCAAATCAAAAGACGCTAATATCGTGGCATTATGAAAAACTCTCGTTTCAAAAACATTGCGTGAACTATGTAAAGCAGATTAATAAATGTAAAATCCAAAGACGTTTTCAGAAAGCTTTTTATTTTTTGGGTGAACTTTCAAAAAGTAGGATATGCTTCATCTCTTGATGTTAAATCAATAAGCTGCACCAAATAAACTAGAGCCTCCGTACCCGATTCCTCCGAGATCTGTTCGTTGCATTTCCCCTATCTCCATGTCCACGTAGCAACCCCTCAGCTGAATGTACTTGTTCAGCCCAGTTAGGCTCCTTCCTAGTACAATCCGACCCAGTTACAATGACCAGGTCACCCCCCTCATCCTCTTCACAGCCCCTTCTTTCAGCCAAGAGCTGAGCGGGGAACTTATTAGCGTAATCCTCTTCGTTTAACACAATCTGAAGATCATCCTCACTGTCACTGCTGCTCAAACTCTCCATAGCTCCATTCTCATACCCAGCTCCTCTCTCCTCCATTTCTTCATCCTCTGCCTCCGCCGTCGGGACGCCGACAATCAAACGGTCCTCCAGGTCGGCGTAAAGCTCACCGAAGTCGTCCAAGTCTTCCATTTACCTGCGAGGGCAAGGCCGTGCAAATCGCTATACATAAAGCCAAGCAGTGACGGAGGAGAGGATTTGCGACTGGCGATCGGCAGTGGAGAACCCTAACCCTAATTCCATGGCGGATAGGGAACAAAACACGCGGTCTGGGTGATGCTTCTCCCAGTGAAGATATGGCAATGGCATCCACGAGCCAGAAAATCGTACACTAAGGAAGAGTTAGCTGATTAGGCTTGCATTTTATAGGGTGGGCAATACGGGATTCGAAGTTTGAGCCGCGTGGGAGGAAAGGTTTCGCTCAATCAGCCTCACGCAAAATCTAATTAAAAGCAAAAACAATAACGACCTACCGGAAGCGTGAGACCGGCGTCGTAATTAGGATTTAGGAACAATTACGGGGGCACGGGCGTCCGTACATCCTATGTAACTCTACATCTGGACTTCAATAACATATTGTCACGTGCTCTTATTCTTTATCGTACGACCCGACGACCCGACCCGGACCTGGAACCGGTATTACTATGTATTGACTAATTTGTGCATATCGGGTATTGCTAAGTATTGCTCGGTATTGCTCGGCAATAACGAGAAATAACATTCTGTTAAGACAAATACCTAGCAATACCGAATAATACCCCAGTTTTGATATGTATTGCTAGGTATTGGTCTTGACAGAGCGATATTTCTCGTTATTGTCAAGCAATATCTAGCAATACAGAACAATACCTAGTAATACCGAACATAGCAATACCGGGTTCCGGTCCAGGTAGGGTCGTCGGGCCGCACGGTAAAGAGTAAGAGCGCGTGGCGATATGTTATTGACATCCGGATGTAGAGCTACGTCCGGTGTCCGAACCTAATAATTATTATATAATTAGAGCTTTGTTACAACCCAACAAAATGTGCTCTTAGGAAGCTCATTTTGGTTTTTTTATTGCGAGTTTTAACTATTAATTAAAATTTTTTTAATTCGAGAGTATATATATTTATCTTAATTGATTTAAATGTCTCAAAATAATATTCTAACTTTTTTTAAAATTACAAAGCAAAGCACAGTAGTTCCTTGCTATAATGAATTTACAAATTGCCCTCAAAATACAATTTAAAAATGTTAAATTTGCTATGAGCTGGAACAAAAGTTACAATGATCGAAGAGATTATTAAATCAATAAAAATATAATATATATTTGAAAAACAATTTAAAAGTAAGACAAAAATCATTTAAAAAAAATATTTTTCAAATCAGAATAGATGGACTTAGCATAGCACAAATATAATTTTACCTCCACCCACCTTCAGTTGCTGGCAAAAATAATTCTGTGGCCGTTGAGAGAGAGCCAAAGAATAAGACAACATAGGGAGAATAAAACCCATCTTCATAGTCCAACAAAGGAATTTTTATTAGGTCCGGTGTCCTAACATAGCTCTACGTTCGGAAGTCAGTAAAATGGTGCCACCTGCTCTTATTCTTTACCGCGCGGCCCAACGACCCGACTCGGATCGGACACGGGATTGCTATGTATTGGCTGATTTGTGCAAACCGGGGTATTGCTCGATATTATTCGACAATAACGAGAAATACCATATGTCAAGACCAATACCGAGCAATACCCCGATTTTGCTAGGTATTGCTTAGTATTGCTAGATATTGCTCGGTATTGCTAGGTATGGGTCTTGACATAACGGTATTTCTCGTTATTGTCAAGCAATACCTAGCAATATCGAGCAATACCTAGCAATACCCGAACATAACAATATCGGGTTCCGGTCCGGGTCGGGTCGTCGGGCCGCACGGTAAAGAGTAAGAGCACGTGGCGACATGTTATTGGCCTCCGGATGTAGAGCTACGTCCGGCGTCCAGACCTAATAATTATTCCCAACAAAGCCAAATTACCAGGGCAATACCTCTCTGTATTCATGAAATGTTTCAAGCAATTAATTTTCCTCCACATGAATTTTTTTATGAGATGAATAAGAGTGTTACTATTTTAAGGATTCGTTTGGGGCATTTTTTTTTATTGATTCTTAAAGCAAATTTTAAGTACAAAAAATTTTAATTTTTATGCTAAAAATTTACTTTAAAAAGTAATAAAAAAACCATCATAAACGAAGCCTAAATGGAATAGCCAAACCTCCTATTATGCATTTCCATCCGAAGAAAATATAAAGCAGCAGTCACAGATAGAAATAATAAATTATTATGATCTTTATGGAGAAAAATCATCTCATCAATGTAATGCAAGACAACAATTGCAATCTACATGTAAATAAGAAGTAGATGGAATGTTCTTGGTGCCGGATAATTTTGCACCAATTTAGGTGCTCATTAGTTTGGTAGAGGGAATGCAAGGAATCCTTAAAACTAATTTCACAAAATTAACCCAAAATACATATGGGTTGATAGTGACGGGCTTTCCTTTAAAGATGATCTATGGTGATATCCTAGTTGTGGCATGTAAATGATGACCGATTATGTTGATGGGTAGAGAGTAACGATATTTTTTTTATTTAATGAAAGCCACATAAAATGATAATTGGTTTACTGATAAATGATTTAATTAGGATGAATATGACAGATGACCAACTGGAAAGCAATTGGGGTTAAAAAGATGATGAAAACACCATATTAAATATGGATGTCATATTTTACTATATCCTATAATGAAGCATATATGTAGATAACATTGACAGATAGATCATAATGAGTACAAATATATGTGTTAATTGCATATGATTGATAATAGATAAAATAGATAAGATTGATATCATTGATACTTATATGTTATGATTACTTTACTGATTTATGAATTATTATAATATGATTGCTTTATGTATTTATTGATTCTTGTATTGACTATCGATCCATTTATTTTACTAAAAAGATTTCTTGCTTTTGTTATTGATCATTTTGAGCTATACAAATAATAATTGATCATAGATGATATTGAATACAATTGTCTATATTGATTGAATTAAGCATGTATATTGATTCTTTAAGCTTTACATTGAAAGTTTTAGTAAAATTGAGTTATTGTTGAGTTTTTTTAGATTATTGTGAAAATTTAATGATTTCATATCATGGAATGCATCAGGACTAAGTGGACGTGAGGTTGTAATAGATCATCAGATTTTCCTTTTGATTTTATTTTGTATTTTCATTTATTATTTTATAGTTATTGTGTCATGGAGTATTCGCGGCAGTAGAGAAATATATAGTTTAACGTCTTAGTATTGTACTAAGATCCGGCACACAATCAAATAAGTGAGAGGGTGTAGCATTCATAAGAGACCAGAGTTTTTACGTGAAAACCCCCTAAAAGGGGGAAAAACCACGGGGTGTTGACCTCATTTTTGTATGAGGTCACTTTTAACTCCTTCCTGAGCTCTATATCATAGGATCTTCCTAGTTCCTAGCCCCTAGGCCCAATCCAGATCTTAATCCAATTCAAACCCAGAACCCTTAGGCTAAAGACTTAGGTCCTAAAGCCCTTTCTATGTGATTTTTCCATCACCTTGAAACCCAGTCAATTGGCATCTTATTAAGGGTGTAACAATTTCATATTCATATGACATGTCTCTAGTGTCAACCCTCCAAATTTGAGCTCATTTGGATGACTCTAATTCTATAAACATAATCTAGTTTCAAAGGTTGCAAAATCTTCAAATATTTACAATCCATGCCATTGGGCCTTTCACCTAGTGGAATTTGACATTGCAGTCCCCTCCAAACCTTTTGACCACTCCTAGCACCTTAATTTTGACTTATTAAACGATAGTCTACATCTTTTCATATTCAATTTGACCCAGAATCGACTCAAATCCAAAATGACCAAAATGCCCTTAATGGGGATTTTTGAGCTTTTGGCCTAAACTTAATTTAATTTGACTATCAATCCTTGAAGTCTTCCTCAAATATTTTTAAATAATGTTTGAGACCTTTTGAATCCAATTCCAACCTTGAACGATAGTCTACATCTTTCTAGATTCAATTTGACCCAGAATCGACTCAAACCCAAAATGACTAAAATGCCCTTAATGGGGATTTTTGAGCTTTTGGCCTAAACTTAATTTAATTTGACTATCAATCCTTGAAGTCATCCTCCAATATTTTCAAATGATATTTGAGACCTTTTGAATCCAATTCCAACATTGGGTCAACTTGGTTGACCAACTCAACCCATTTTAACCTTAAGGCCCCTCAAGGGTTAGAATGATTATTTTGACCTAGATGACCATTCTACACTTTGATGCCTCATTCATTAGACTCATAAGACCAAATTGATTTCAAGGGACCCAACTCCTAGCCCTAGGTCAACTTGGTTGACCAAGTCAACCAAGTTGACCAAATGACTCATATATCTCATTCCACCTAAACTTTTTGACCAAGATCTTTTCAATCACATTTGAACCCAAGGGGTGACTCCTTGGGCCCCCAAGAAACCTCTCTTTGAGACCCAAGCCTTGGGCTCACATGGGTGAGCCTTTTGGCTTGACCCAAGTGCCCAAAGAGAGGTCCCCTTTGGACTATTTTCCAACCTTAATCAAATTGAATCCAAATCAAGATGTCATTGAGCCCCCCCAGACCCAATACACTTCCCTTGATCAGCCCAGCCATTAAGCCCCCTTGGGTCAAAAGTTAGGCTAACCCAAAGTGGCCAAGATCACTTGGGATTGAGTTAATTCCTGTCCTAAGTCAAATTGAACTTGATTAACACCCCCATCAGGTGGCCCTAGGTCTAATACACTTCCTCCAACCAGACCATGCCTTGGATTAACTTGGGTCAAGTTTTAGGCTAGCTCAAAGTAGCCAAAACCACATGGACCCAATCCATCCTTGAACCCAGATTAAATTGAACCCAATTGCCACTTGTATTGGGTG